TTCTCCTCCTAAGCCTGGCACCAATGGGATCATACCCAAAGACAAGTCCTCCTCTTGCTCCGAAGCCCCCACCCCTCAGAACCAGAGGCAGGCCACCCTGGACCAGTAAGGGAAAGGCAGAGGGAAAGTGGGGCACATTCCCAAGGCAAGTGAGGTCACCCAGAGCACTGGGGAGATGTTAGCTCTGAATGGCCAGCCATTCTTAGTTGAGTGGCCAGGGTTCAGGTGGCTTATGGTGCTCGTGGCCCCATCATACCGTGTGCCCGCATGCACCACCTTCAGCAGGACTTTGGTGTCCTCCCTGTATGAGGCATGCAGGCAATACTTGAGGGAGGAGCTGTAAGAGGCAGGTCCGCATGTGGCCCTACACTTCACCTCGGACATCTGGATCATACCTACCTCTCCCTCACAGAGCACTGATGCAAAAAGTCAGGCCGTCTGTGGGCCCTCCTTCAAGCAGAGGTGATGCGTGAGTCCCACACAGCAACAGAAATCATGGGTGCTATGACCCACACGGTACAGGGGTGGCTTGTTGGGCAGGGCGAGCTCAACCATGGGTTCATGGTCACTGACAATGGGGCCAATATGGTCAAAGTAGCGCATGATGCCAATTTTGTTGGCATCTGCTGTGTGGCACACAAGTTCGACCTCATAGTCAGGCACACCTTGGAGGGGGACAGGGCTGCCGGTGAGGGCAATGTCACAACCATCCAGCTCATTTCCAAATGTAGGAAGGGGGCAAGCTACTTCCGCCAGAGCATCAGGACAAACAGGCAGAGCTGAGCATCCCACAGCAGAAAATCGTGCAGGATGTGGAGACTTGGTGGAACTCCACAAACCTGATGCTCAAAAGACTGGTGGAGCAACGGAAGACCATCCATGAGATGGCCTTGCTTGAGGAGATTGGGATCAGCAGCCCCCTTAACAAAGCAGAGTGGGATGGAGAAGTCAGAGTCAGAACGAAATGGAGAGGTTCCAAGGGATTAATGTTCCTGGCTTGGGCAAGTCATTGTCACCAGAAGTGCAAGCACTGGTGAAGTGGCTGAAGGAGGGCATCAAGAAATATCTGGATCCATTGCAGTCCAGTATGGTCCACATACTGGCGGGCATGTGTGACCAGAGGGTGAAGGGGAGCATCTGCAGTGGTAAAACCCTGAACCACTAGATGGAGGTGCTGGTAAACAGAGTTAGGGAGGCATAGGGGCAGAGCCGGGGAGACGTGGAAGAGGGGGATCCATTTTCCTGTGCCAACACTCCATCCACCAGCCAGTCTCCTCCAGCACAGGTGCTGCCAATGTGGGCCAAGGGCATGGCTTCCATGTTGGGGTGCAGAGGCACCAGACCCTAGCATTGGCCAGGTAGCACCGTGGCCTCGGTGCCTGCCTATCTTGCCAAGGACATGGAGCCTCTGCTCTGTAACCCCTTGGCCTACTGGGCAAGCTGCAGCTGGATGTGGCAGGATCTGGCCACAGTTGCTTGGGAACACCTATTCTGTCCACCAACCAGTGTTCTGAGTGAAAGGGTGTTCAGCATAGCTGGGGATGTTGTGACACCCCACCACACCTCCTTGGATCCTGTTTTGGTGAAGCCACTGGTGTTCCTTAAGGTGAACCTTCCGCTGCTGGGGTTTCCCAAGCTCCATGTGCAGAAGGAGTGAGTGCCACTCTCCTCACTCCATCTACACCTATTTCCTTTTAAAAAAATGTTAAAAACCATTTAATGCCCCACTCTCAGAGCTGGAGGGGGCACTCACTGTACCACCAGTCAGCAAGGGAAGAATATCTCCCTGCTGAGCTCCCGTGCCAGGATGAACTTGGAGGTATGGGCGGGGGCTTTGGGAAAGGAGGAGACCCCAGGTCCTGGGCATGACCTAAAACTGCACCCTTCCAGGGTTGGGAGGCCTGGTGGGACTGTCGGCAGCGTGGCAGCCCCCAAGAATAGCCAGGACCGCAAACCTCCCTGGTGAAAGGCAGGGAGCATGTGCCTTATAACCTCCAGCCACCACATGCATGCACAGTCCTGGCTAAGGCAAGCCCAGACCTGTAAGATCTTTGAGAGGCCTGAGGCTTGCTGGTTGCAGTGGAGTTGTGAGGCTCCAAGTGAGCTTAGCTGTCTGGGATGCCATCTGCGAGGTATGGGCTGCAGTGTTAGGGGAAGTATGGAGCTGCAGAATGGATGCATGTCACCCCTAGACATCAGGAACCTAAATGGGCAGCCTCCCACTTGGTAAATATCTGAATTGGTTTTCCATCAATGCGTGGCAGAGGAAAGAGGTGTGGGTTGGCCCAGAAACAGGTGGGCAAGCTGAGATCTTACCTGCATTGGGAAGGCATCCTGCTCTTCCTGGATGGAATGAATAGTGAAGAAACCAAAGGCTTGTATGCAGTGCAGGCCAGAAAGACAGTCAGTGAAAATGTAAATTGAGTTGTCAGGGGGTGAGGAATAAGGTGGGGGTGGGGAGTGGGAAAGGAGGATGTAGCAGGTAAAAGTGGAGAGGTACCTGGGGAGTCAGATGTCAGGCAGGTTATAGTGTGTCATAAATCCACTGTCTATATTGAGTCCATGAGTTTGTGTATTTAGGAGGTTGGTGAAGTGAAGTTCATAGGCCTGTCTGTGAAAAGTGGTTTGTAAATTCCCTTTGAGGATCAGGCCTGAGAGACTGGAGACACAGTGGCTTTCTTGTGAGAAATGTGACCTCCACAGGTAGTTGGGTATTCTTCTCTGTAATAGATTGGATTAGTATGTTGGCAGGTTTTGCATTTCTTGTCAACGGCATCATCTGGATCCATTCAGTGTGTTTTGGGCTATAGGAAGTTGGCTTCTGGTGATGAGATTAGCAAGGTTCGGTGCTTGTTTGAATTTACAAACCATTTTTCACAGAGGAGCCTATGAACTTCACTTCATCAACCTCTTGGATACACAAACTCATAGACTCAATAAAGACATTGGATTTATGACACACTGTAACCCGCCTGACATCTGACTCCCCAGGTACTGCTTCACTTTTACCTGCTATATCCCCCTTCCCACCCCCCAGCCTGTCCCTCACCCCCTGACACCTCAATTTACATTTTCACTGACTGGCTTTCTTGCCTCATTGCATGCCAGCCTCTGGCTTCTTCACTATTCATTCCATCCGGGAAGAGTAGGGGGCCTTCCCAGTGCGGTTGAGATCTCTTCACTATTCATTCCATTCAGGAAGAGCACACACACACCAACTAGGTGCTTCCTCAGCCTGACAAAAGGTTTTTAAACCCTAAAGCTTGCTAGGATATATTTCTCCAACTATTCAGTTGGTCTAATAAAAATATCAGAGGTGTTCTCGACTGGTCTGTGCTGGGGCCAGGACCCAAAGGGGCACGGTCAAAGGGCCAGGGGCCCACTGTGAGGAATGCCCAGAGCAAGAGGCTTGAGATTCTGACTGGCCTAAAGGCAGGGCCAGGGCCTAAGGGGGAAGCTAAAGGTCCCAGAGGGGACCACAGCTGGAGGTGGTGAAGGATGTAATGTGCGAGGCATGGGCTGCAGTGTTCGGGGAAGAATAGAGCTGCAGAATGGATGTCTCCCCAGGACACCTAAATGGGCAGCCTTCCGCCTCCTGGGAAACATCTGAATCAGTCTTCCTTCAAGGTGTGGCAGGAAAAAGAGGGGTGGGTGGTTGGCTCAGCAACAGGTGGGCAGGCAGAGTTCTAACTGGCATTGGGAAGGCCTCCTGTTACAGGTTACCATCTCTGCTGGTTTGATCACGCTGCACCTTAACACACACACACACACACACACACACACACACACACACACACACACACACACACACACACACACACACGTGTCATGAGTTTTGCTTTGAAAAATTTGAGGTGCAGTTTCACAAAAACCCCTGTACCTGTCTCCTTGAAACTTGGCAGACTTCATGCCCTCTGAAGGGGCTACTGTTCCTGCAATTTTCATCTGAATCAGGCAAGAAATGACAAAGTTATAGGCAGTTTAGTGATTCCCCATTATAGCCTATGGTCGAATCACTGAAACAGCATTGGAACTCTGAAACAGATTTGGCCAAATCGAAACAGAACAATGATCTGAAACACCAAAATGAATCACTGTCCTCCAAAATGGCTGAATCTGAATTGAAATGAAACATAGCCATTTTGCACAGCCCTAGTTACTACCTGGTGGACAACACATAACTATGTAGCCAGTGAACAGCATATGGGAGTACCCTGTGGGATGTAGAGATTGTACTTAAAGAAGGATGTATCTCAAGCATTGACCAGCAGCAAAAAGACAAATTTGCAAAGATGTAAAGATTAGTACGAAGCATGATTTTTCAAAAGTACTCAGAACCTCTTTGAAAATGTCTAATGCCTTTTATGCATCTTACCGTACCTATGTACTTTTAAAACTCCAGTTGTTAAATGTCTGTTGCCTCAGATAAGGAAATAAGAATTATGAAAGGGGCATTAATCTCCCAAGCACTTTGTGCCCATTGAAAAATTGCCTCTCACAGTGGAACAACAGATATATTGAGTTGGTCTGGGCCTTCTGTTTTTGGGTGGAGGGAGTCCTGAGCCCCTAAGATGTAGGAAAAGGAAGTCAGCCACAGTCTTAAGCATCTCTTTTGATCTTGCAGCAGCTTAGTGTATGATTTTTATAAGTCAACCTCTCCTTGTGGTAAGAAGTCAGAACAAAATGGAGAGCTACCAATTCTCCAAGGTATTCCAACATAAGTGGCAGTGTACAGTAAATCACTGTCTAAAGAGGGTTTAGGAACAGCAGCCACTCTAGCATGCTGGCATGGGAAAGCCTTAAGGTAAAAGGAAGGGTCTGGTCTGCACAGATTTTACAATATCAAAGAATTTATAGAATTCAGGGCTCAGGCAGATTTTGTCAAGACGTTTATGCGAGATGTGGTGTAGAGACCTTTTGCTAAAACTTTGTACAGAACTGAATTTCCTCCTTGGTGCCTAACTCCCAGCAGTCAATGTTGATTTTCTCCCTATTTTCAGGTTCTACGTGAGTATAGTGTCAACCTGTCTGAAGAAGAGTTTTTCCACATTTTGGAATTTTATGATAAAGCCTTAACATCAAAAGTATCCTATAATGATTTCCTTCGGGCATTCCTAAAGTAGAAAATGGAAGGGGTCATCAAGTGCAAGAAACTGCAGCTAACAGAGATAGTAACTGATTTATACATTTTGATTGCCAATCAATAAATTGATCGAGCACGTCCCTTTTTTGCCTCTATTCATTAGCAAGCTTCAAATACTTACAACTCTGGCAAATACAGCTTTTGTGGTTTGTGGATTAAATCTATATGTTAGGGCTATTAATTTTCATATAATCCATTTATCCAAGAAAAACTACAACAATTAAAAATGTTATAGTAATGATTCCTAAGACCTTTGAGGCCTAAAGCGACCAAAATGCTGGCTTGCATCCATAGATGCTTCTCAAGCAAATCCTGGGACATCATTCTCCCCTTGTACTCGGCCTTGGTGAGGCTGCAACTGGAGTACTGCATCCAGTTCTGGGCTCCACAATTCAAAAAGGATGTGGAGAAGCTTGAGAGAGTCCAGAGAAGAGCCACACGCATGATCAGAGGTCAGGAAAACAGACCTTACAATGACAGGCTAAGAGCCATGGGGCTCTTTAGCCTGGAAAAGTGCAGGCTCAGGGGTGATCTGATGGCCACCTATAAGTTTATCGGGGTGACCACCAGTATCTGGGGGAACGTTTCTTTACCAGAGCGCCCCAAGGGATGATGAGGTTGAACGGTCATAAACTACTACAAGACCATTTCAGGCTGGACATAAGGAAGAATTTCTTTACTGTCCAAGCCCCAAGGTCTGGAACAGCCTGCCATCAGAGCTAGTTCAAGCACCTACAAGAGCAAATTGGATGCTTATCTTGCTGGGATCCTATGACCCCAGCTGACTTCCTGCCCTTTGGGCGGGGGGCTGGACTCGATGATCTTCCGAGGTCCCTTCCAGCCCTAATGTCTATGAAATCTATTAAATCTATGTCTGAAAGTAATACATTTAAATAACATGTTTTTCTAATTAAAATATATTATTAATAAAATACTCTTTGTAGCTTCAGTATTCAGGTTTAAAAAGGCATATTATTCAATTTTATCAGTTCAAGTATTACATGATTTGTCATTAGAAATTTGTCTGTTTTACTGACTGTTTTCTTTTTCCTCCTGCTTCTCCATGTAGCTGTAATAATTATGTTGCTAATAGTTTTTCATACGGACATGAAATGTACCATGCCACACTCTGCAAAGACACTGACTATACCTTCACAGCATGTCATCATCTTCCAATGCATTTTTTCACCACCATTTGATTTAAATACCAAAGAAAGTTGAAAATAAAGTTGGAAGCTAATTTTCCATTTGCTATTGTATTTCTCATTGAAAATTTGGAAGCATATTCCACAAACTTGCATCTCCTAATATGAACTTTGTGGTTGACCTTGTCAAGGGCCATTTTTTAAATAATGTACAAAAAACTACAAGTAAAATCTCCAGTAAGCTATACTGATATTATAAAAGTGAACTGTTTAATTTCCTTGTGAGATCATAGCAGGGAAATTGAAAGAATCATTTTCATTGCTGACCTTTATTGTTACCAGATTTGCCCATGACTTTGGGGTGTGCTCATTTATTAGGGATACATTTCTAGGGTCTTTGTAATTCTATCAATGTGCTGCTTGTGTTACTTGTGTTTCTATATGGAGCTGTATCTCTCCCTTCTGCAAGTCCTCACCCCCAATGGAGCTATCTTGCAGGACTCGGTTTCAGTCAAATGCACACACACAGATTAACATGACATGCCTGACCTGGCCGGGTTGATCAGCATGTACAGGCTGACACCCTCATGTGCCAGGAATCAGTTCATTAAGGTAACAATAAAATGCAGTCAGACACAAGCACAGAGGTGAACAGAAGACCTCTGAATCAAGCTGGGTGTCCAGCTGACACCCTCATGAGCCAGCATTCAGTTCATTAGGGCATGTCTGAACCAAACTGGGTCAATCAGCCTATACAAGCTGATCCCCTTATGTGTCTCAAACTCAGCACCTCCCAATCTTTTGCCCTAACTGTCCTAGTAGTAATAGCCTCTTGATGAGCTGACCTCAGTATTTCTGGACTTCACAGAGATCTTTGGCTTAGGTAAAAGAAGCGTTGCTGTAGAGCAAGTGGGGAAGGGAAGTAGAGAAGGAAAAATATACCCAGTTACCACCAGTTTGACTATAAAAAGTTAGTTATTGCTAAGTATATGAAATGTATAATAGTACTAGTAATAATAGACATGCAAGGAAAAAAACAAACAAAACAATTACAATATTACCCTGGTTTAATTGAGTTTTTGGGGAAACCTAGCTCAAGCTTAATATACAGTTCAGGTTCAGAAAGCTATGCCTACAGAGAAAAAGAAAAAGAGAGCAAGGAAGAGGGAGAAAGACAAAGAGAGAGAGAGTGAAAGCTGGGATCTCACCATTCCAAGGCACTCAGGTGATCTGTTGACAAGCAAAGTTTCTAACACGATTGTGGAAGGGAGATGATCTGTTTTTCCCAGCTTCTCGAAAACAACAGCGGATGGTGTCATAGAGATTTCTCTCTCTTGAAGCACACTGTTTGCTGCTTTACAGCTTTCTTATACCCTTAGTCCAGCCTCTTCAAAGTATTCTTTTAATTGTGTAAATCAAGAGGGGCCCAAGCCATAACTGACAGGGAAAATCCTGTTATATAAACAGTTTAAATTTAAATGAATTACCTTTTTCAGTGACCAGGGGTTATCTGGTTTGGAACATCTCAAGAAACTGATTAACAACCAGGAAAAACATTAAAGTTTTAAGGAGTAACTAGACACTTAGGAGCCAGCTTGAAATTATTATGAATACACTAGAAGGGGTCTTCTCAGATGGCCTAGCTATGCTTGAACTGTGAAGTCAGCATCAGTGTTTTGTATTTTACCTGTTGTAAGTAAGACTCAGCTTAGCATGACTTTTAGATTTTACTGTAGTCTTTTAACAGACTTAAGGGGATTACTTGCCATGTTCATAAACTTTGTTGGAAGGACTTCTACCAGTCACCCCGGGAAAAGTATGACAGCATTTGTGGTCAGGGATCCAACAGGTTGAACGCTGTGATGTACCCTTAACCATTGTTCAAATGTTGCCCATACCCACTCTAACTCAGTCTCTTGCCTCAGCATTCCCTAACCCGGCGACCGAGTTTTAGTCAATCAAGTTTAAATAGGCCTCCCCAACTGGGACCAGGAAATGTATGGCCCGAGTTGCCTATTAAACTTTTCTTCTGCTTAGCTCTGGTTGGGGGGG